CTTTTGGCGAGAAGCCTTAGCATTGAACAGACCTTCGTGACTACTCCAACAGATGGTAGTACTGGTATGCGGCAGGTACTGGCTTGTTCAGTAGACTCTCCTCTACAGTTCCATTTTGGCAGGAAGCCTTAGCATTGAACAGACCTTCGTAACTCCTCAACAGATGGCAGTGCTGGTGTGCGGAATGTCAGATAAGCAAAAGTTGGATAAGCAGGACTCTACTGTATATGTGGGCAGGACTATAGACCGTGTGACCAGATCTGGGACTATTCAGACTGAGACTCCATTTTAGAAGTGTTGTTCTCATCAGAAGCAGTACTGTTTAGGAGTCAGCAAGACGGAATGTCAGATAAGCAAAAGTTGGATAAGTAGGACTCTACTGTATATGTGGGCAGGACTATAGACCGTGTGACCAGATCTGGGACTATTCAGACTGAGACTCCATTTTAGAAGTGTTGTTCTCATCAGAAGCAGTACTGTTTAGAAGTCAGCAAGACGGAATGTCAGGTAAGCAAAGGTTGGATAAGCAGGACTCTACTGTATATGTGGGCAGGACTACAGACCATGTGACCAGATCTGGGACTATTCAGACTGAGACTCCATTTTAGAAGTCTTGTTCTCATCAGAAGCAGTACAGAAGGACAGAATGTCGGATAAGAGAAGGTTGGATAAGTGAGACTCCACTGTATATGATTTAGTATGTAGTTTTCCCTGGACTCCATGTTGTTTGAGGTTGTGGCAGGACTACAGAGCTGAGACTCCATTTTAGAAGTCTTGTTCTCATCAGAAGCAGTACTGTTTAGAAGTCAGCAAGACGGAATGTCAGGTAAGCAAAGGTTGGATAAGCAAGACTCTACTGTATATGTGGGCAGGACTACAGACCATGTGACCAGATCTGGGACTATTCAGACTGAGACTCCATTTTAGAAGTCTTGTTCTCATCAGAAGCAGTACAGAAGGACAGAATGTCGGATAAGAGAAGGTTGGATAAGTGAGACTCCACTGTATATGATTTAGTATGTAGTTTTCCCTGGACTCCATGTTGTTTGAGGTTGTGGCAGGACTACAGAGCTGAGACTCCATTTTAGAAGTCTTGTTCTCATCAGAAGCAGTACTGTTTAGAAGTCAGCAGGACGGAATGTCAGATTAGCAAAAGTTGGATAAGCATGACTCTATTGTATATGTGGGCAGGACTATAGACCGTGTGGCCAGATCTGGGACTATTCAGACTGAGACTCCATTTTAGAAGTGTTGTTCTCATCAGAAGCAGTACTGTTTAGAAGTCAGCAAGACGGAATGTCAGATTAGCAAAAGTTGGATAAGCAGGACTCTATTGTATATGTGGGCAGGACTATAGACCATGTGGCCAGATCTGGGACTATTCAGACTGAGACTCCATTTTAGAAGTCTTGTTCTCATCAGAAGCAGTACTGTTTAGAAGTCAGCAGGACGGAATGTCAGATTAGCAAAAGTTGGATAAGCATGACTCTATTGTATATGTGGGCAGGACTATAGACCATGTGGCCAGATCTGGGACTATTCAGACTGAGACTCCATTTTAGAAGTGTTGTTCTCATCAGAAGCAGTACTGTTTAGAAGTCAGCAAGATGGAATGTCAGATAAGCAAAAGTTGGATAAGCGGAGCTCTACTGTATATGTGGACAGGACTACAGACCATGTGACCAGATCTGGGACTATTCAGACTGAGACTCCATTTTAGAAGTGTTGTTCTCATCAGAAGTCAGTACTGTTTAGAAGTCAGCAGGACGGAATGTCAGATTAGCAAAAGTTGGATAAGCATGACTCTATTGTATATGTGGGCAGGACTATAGACCGTGTGGCCAGATCTGGGACTATTCAGACTGAGACTCCATTTTAGAAGTGTTGTTCTCATCAGAAGCAGTACTGTTTAGAAGTCAGCAAGATGGAATGTCAGATAAGCAAAAGTTGGATAAGCGGAGCTCTACTGTATATGTGGACAGGACTACAGACCATGTGACCAGATCTGGGACTATTCAGACTGAGACTCCATTTTAGAAGTGTTGTTCTCATCAGAAGTCAGCAAGACGGAATGTCAGATAAGCGAAGGTTGGATAAGCAAGACTCTGCTGTAGTAGTAATAATAATAATAATTATTATTATTATTATTACTATCTTGTTATTATTAATATTATGTTTATTATTATTATTAATATTATTATTATTATTATTCTGCTTTGAGTCCCTTTTGTGGAAAGAAAAAGCAGGGTATAAATAAACATAAACATAAACATAATAATAATAATAATAATAATAATAATAGAAGCAGAGTATAAATAAAAAATAAATTTATATCCCGCTTCTCCTCTCTAAGAAAGCGACTCCAAGCGGCTTTTGGAATGTATTTAATGCCTGTCGCCTCTTGATATAAGTAACCTCTAAAAATAAGCCCCATAATTTGTTTTGTCTCCGAAGGAAAAGAAGAAAGACGAGGAAAAAGGGAGAGAGGGAGAACCTAATGGCGAATAAATATTTTACGGCCTCGATTTAACGCTCGCGGTGTCGGAACTCGCCCGGGCCATTTATCTGCGAATATACAAATTTTTTAAAAGGCCGGGTCCCTTCGTTTGGGCGCAAAAGGCTTTATTAATGGCCTGTCTGTTTTAAAAGGATGAGAAAAGCTTAAGCTAAAAGGAGAGAAATGCATTAATACCCAAATACACCAGGCAGGAAGGAAGAAAGGAAGGCGACGATAAATTTCTTAAACGTGCAAGGAAAAAAAAAAGAAAGAAAAAAGTTTAACCCACTTTATAAAACTAATGCATTTAAGGGCTAATTACACAATTACTCTGTTGCTGCTGGAAGATCTAAAAAGCTGGCAGAGAAGCGGATGAGTCAGAAACGGAGAGATGAATGGAGATTACGTCGACCGGCCCTTTAAATTTCTTTTGGCTTCGAAATCACGACAGAGGAAAAGGAACTTTTGCAAGGCTCTCGTTGGGGAAAAGCTGGGATTTTTCCACACTTTTCGTCTCCAAAGAAGGAATAGAAAGGAAGTCCTTCCCATTATTATTATTATTATTATTATTATTATTATTATTATTATTAGTTATTTCAAAGTCGGTTCGTAATTTAGGACTTACTTTGCGCAAAATTCACTCTGAATTTTCTTTGCAGGTTGTAGAAATCCCTTATGCAGAAATTTGATAGTCAAAATACTTATATTATAATTATCATTATATTATTGTGATATTATTCTGGCTACCAGTATTAAAAAAACTCTAAAATTACAACAGCACAACAACAGAGAGGAAACAAACAAGGACAGCTAATCACCTCTCAACAAAAGATTGTCCAGGCACTGCTAGACCATGATATGCTAATCAAGGTAATCAGTTGAAACATTCACACCTAGCTCCAGCAGACAAGAGTTCTTTGTCCCACCCTGGTCATTCCACAGATATATAAACCCCTTATGCAGAAATTTGATAGTCAAAGTACTTATATTATAATTATCATTATATTATTGTGATATTATTCTTGTTGATGTGACATTATTATTATCATTATATTAATGGTATATTATTATAGTTGTTGTGATATTATTAATAATATTATATTAGTGGTATATTATTACTGTTGTTGTGATATTATATTAGTGGTATATTACTATTGCTGTGGTCATTATTATTATATTTGTGGTACATTATTGTTGCTGTTGGGATATTATTATTATATTAGTGGTATATTACTATTGTTGTAATTATTAATAATAATAATAATATCAGTATATTATTATTGTTGTGATATTATTGTAATATTAGTAGTATATTACTACTGTTGTTGTTATTATTATTATTATTATATTACCCGTATATTATTGCTGTGATATTATTATAGTAGTGGCATATTATTGTTGTGATATTATTGTGATAGTAGTAGTATATTACTATTGTTTTTGTGATATTATTATTATTATTATTATTATTATTATCATATTACCAGTATATTATTGTTGTGATACTATTATAGTAGAGGTATGTTATTGTTATTGAGATATTATTGTGATATTAGTAGTATATTACTGTTGTTGTGATATTATTATTATATTAGTGGTGTATTACTACTGTTATTGTTATTATTATATTACCAGTATATTATTGTTGTGATATTATTATAGTAGTGGCATATTATTGTTGTGATATTATTGTTATAGTAGTAGATTACTTTGTTGTTGTGATATTATTGTTATAGTAGTAGATTACTATTGTTGTGATATTATTATAGTAGTGGCATATTATTGTTGTGATATTGTGATATTAGTAGTAGATTACTATTGTTGTGATATTATTATTATTATTATTATTATTATAGTAGTGGTATATTATTGTTGTTGTGATATTATTGTGATATTAGTAGTATATTACTATTGTTGTTGTGATATTATTATTATTATTATTATTATTATTATTATTATATTACCAGTATATTATTGTTGTGATATTATTATTATATTAGTGGTATATTACTACTGTTGTTGTTGTGATATTATTATTATTATATTACCAGTATATTATTGTTGTGATATTATTATAGTATTGGCATATTATTGTTGTGATATTATTGTGATATTAGTAGTATATTACTATTCTGTTGTGATATTATTATTATGTTACCAGTATATTATTGTTGTGATATTATTATAGTAGTGGTATATTATTGTTGTTGTGATATTATTATAGTAGTGGTATATTATAGTTGTTGTGATATTATTGTGATATAAGAAGTATATTACTATTGTTGTGATATTATTATTATAATATTAGTGGTATACTGTATTATTGTTGTGATCTTATTATATTACTAGTATATTATTGTTGTTCTGATCAGACTGAAATGGATCTAGATCATTTGTTTCTTCCAAGAACCTCTGGAGCTGAGGCTCAAACTGTATCCATTCGGGAGTATGGAAGCACCTTGAGGGAACCAGAACTGCAAGAATGGAGGTCGAAATGCCTCACCTGGAAGGGCGAAGGTGGTCCTGGTGGCCACGTTGATCTCCTGCAGGAGCTCCAGGGTCTCAGTGTGGAAGAGGCGGATGGAGGAGCCCAGGAGGAATGCCATCCAGACCCCACTGCCGGCCTTGATGGCATGTGTCACGCTGGCCTCCGCCTCCGGGTGGGCCTCAAAGGTTTGCTGCACAAAGGAAGAGATCAACATTGGAATAATAATAACGTTCTGAAATTTGGTGGGTTAACAGTGGTCAATGTGCACCATCCTTGTAGCAATCTTCACCCCAATAGCTTTAAAAATGGGGGAGAATGGGGCCCTTGAAATCCCCCCAATTATAGTAATGTGTGCAAAAATTCCCCCCAAAATCCGTAGAGAAATGAAACGTTTTGAAATTTGGTGGGCTAACAGTGGTAAATGTGCACTACCCTTGTAACAAGCTTCACCCCAATCGTTTTAAACATGGGGAAGAATTGAGCCCTTGAAGTTTCCCCAATTATAGCAATTGTGTGCGAACATTTTCCCCAAAATCCGTAGAGAAATGAAACGTTCTGAAATTTGGTGAGCTAACAGTGGTTAATGTGCATGACCCGTGTACCAAACTTCACCCCAATCGCTTTAAAAATGGGGGAGAATCGAGCCCTTGAAGTTTCCCCAATTATAGTAATTGTATTTGAAAATTCCCCCCAAAATCCGTAGAGAAATGAAACGTTCTGAAATTTGGTGGGCTAACAGTGGTCCATGTGCACTACATTTGGTGGGCTAACAGTGGTCCATGTGCACTACCCTTGTAGCAAACGTCACCCCAATCGCTTTAAACATGGGGGAGAATGAAGCCCTTGAAGTTTCCCCAATTATAGCAATTGTGTGCGAAAATTTCCCCCAAAATCCGTAGAGAAATGAAGCGTTCTGAAATTTGGTGGGCTAACAGTGGTAAATGTGCACTACCCTTGTAGCAAGCTTCACCATAGTAGCTTTAAAAATGGGGGAGAATGGAGCCCTTGAAGTTTCCCCAATTACACTGTTCAACGGAGAAAAAGTTGGGGGCCTGAAAATAGTTGTTCTTTTATGATTTTGGGGTGCTGAAAATGAAAATGACATTTAAAAATGTATATTGGCTCTAGTTTTTATGATATAAGCAATCACGTGATCACGTATGGTTGAAAAAATGCATGTTGCGACTTACACTATGGAAGATTCTAGAATACTCTAGAAAGTTTGATGACGCAGTATTAGTGCCGTGTGCAAAAGCCAGAAAGCCCTATATAAGGCCAGACTTTTGAACGGTGAGGGTCAGTCAGTTGAAGACTGAGACAGTATCGTTAAACATCGTTTTACATTGTTGTTTTTTTTTACTGTAGTTATGCCTCGCACGTGTGTAAATAAAGCACTATGGAAAAAAGAGATCAAGGCAAATGGACTCCGTCAATGCTGTCAGACTCCTGCTGGAGCATTGTAAGAGGGAATCCTTTCCTTGAATACAAAAGAAAAGTCAAGAGAAGCAAACAGGATATAAACTAAAGTCACGATTAAAGCGACATTTAAACTTTCAGACTTTTCAACTGCATTAGGCCTACTAATATAGTTTCTTGCTGCACAAACATAAACAATAGACTAATTAAATAAATATTTCTCATGTATAAACTATTGGCAATATAATTTGACTAAAATTTAGTAAATATTCACGGTTTATATACATGCAGTAAGGTTAGGCGCATTATCATAATATTAACGAATTACCTATTGTGGAGAAAATTGAAATAGCTGTTGCATAAAAACCAGAGCCAATTAACACATTTAATTATTATATTTGAATTCAGCATGTTAAATTTATTAAGAAACGGCACATTTCGTTTCCGCAACTGAGAAAAACTGAAAATTTGTAGAACAGTGTAATCTATATAAATAAAACTGTCTGAAATTTGGCGGGCTAACAGTGGTCAATGTACACCACCCTTGTAGTTTCCCCAATTATAGTAATTGTTTGCTAAAATTCCCCCCAAAATATGTAGAGAAATGAAACGTTCTGAAATTTGGTCTGGAAGAGAGTGTGGATATGCTATTGCGTGTTTTGTTTGCTGGGGGAGTCTTTTTGCACATGCACTGTAGCATCTTTTTGCTTTATTGGCCTTTTAATGCCTTCTGCTGTGGTTTTCAGTGTTTTAATGAGCGATGGTCACTCGTTGGCCTGTATGTACATATGTATATGTGTGTGTGTATATACGTGTGTGTACATATTTGTGTATTTTGTGGTTATATGTGTACATGCATATTGTGTAAATGTGTGTGCTTGTCTATATGCATATTTGTGTGTACATATGTATGTATGTGGATATGTATATGTGTGTGTACATACGTGTGTATATATTTGTGTATTTTGTGGTTATATGTGTACATGCATATTGTGGAAATGTATGTGCTTGTCTATATGTATATTTGTGTGTACATATGTATGTATGTGGATATGTATATATGTGTGTGTATATATTTCTGTATTTTGTGGTTATATGTGAACATGCATATTGTGTAAATGCGTGTGCTTGTCTATATGCATATTTGTGTGTACATATGTATGTATGTGGCTATGTATATATGTGTGTGTGTGTATTTGTGTATTTTGTGGTTATATGTGTACATGCATATTGTGTAAATGTGTGTGCTTGTCTATATGCATATTTGTGTGTACATATGTATCTTTGTGGATATGTGTGTATATATGTATGTGTGTATATTTGTGCATATATATACGTGTGTGTGTGTGTATGAATGTTTGCATATATGTATATATGGTGCATTTTTTGGGTTTTTAAGTCTGTTCTGCTGAGGTTTTGTGTGTATGTGTACATGTGTTTTTAGGAGTGATGGACACACGTTGGCCTGTTAGGTGTCTGGTGTCCAAATTTGGTGTCAATTCATCCAGTGGTTTTTGAGTTATGTTAATCCCACAAACGAACATAACATTTTTATTTATATAGATTATTATTATTAAGCTGTTTTCGAACTGCTTAGGTAAGCAGTGAGCTGGGCTGACAGTCTGGATCCCACCTTGACCTGGGGCTTCGAACTGGGAACCTTTCCATTGGTAGATCTTATCGCTGTTGGTGATTAACCAGCTGTGCTAAAGCCCGGCTTCCAAAATGTCGCATTCATGACGAGGAGAAGAAAAAGCCCACCCGAGTCCTAAGTACACAATTTTCCCGAAAACTTCTGAAACTGTTTTGTGAAAATCCAGAGGAGATTGAAACAAACTTGGTATTTGTATTTCCAAACCAAAACCCAAAGCAGAGAGAAAAAAGCAAGGCTTGCAACGGACCCAAGGGAAGGGGATTACGGCTTAACGATTCCTAATATTCTTTCCATCCCGGATTTGGGACGGTGCGGCCGACGAAAGAGCGGGCGCGAGAAGAGATAGAAAAAGCGGCGGAGATAACGAGCAAATGGAGGACTAGGCAGCCATGAAAAGGAAGGCGCTAATTAAAGTGTTTTCCAGATTACGAGCAAATAAGTTACGAATCAACGTCGACGTGAAATTCCAAATTCACGTTTCTGGCTTTTGCTAGAAATTCGCTTGTCGTACCTATTTCTATTTTATTTATCAACCTTTCCCCCCTTTTCCGTCCCTCGCAACAACATTCTCTCATGAAAAAGGGAAATCATAAAACCGCAGCAGTACAGAAATACCCGCCATAAAGTACCAAATAGCTCCTAAAGCTTTCAAGCCTCCTGTTTGGACCTTTAAAGGAAGGATAAAGCTTACCGTACGGCTCGCCAAAAGCAGCAAAGGCTTGGAACGATTATTGGGAAGGGTCAGGGAAGAAAAGGATATTTGCAAGGAAATAAAAACAAGGATCTCGGATAGTTTGGCGATGACGAAGGTGTGGAAATGGTTCGGGATTTGCCATACATTGATCAGGAAGATGACGACGATAGAACAATAAATAGGAAATAGATACGATCCCATTGAATGCTAAGGTCAGGATGGTCCATGGAATATAATGTTTTGGATTCTTCTTTTGAAGGCTGGACATGGAAGCAGATAAAGAATCAACTCATTTGAAACGTGAATTCGGAATTTCACGTTGACGTTGATTCGTAACTGGAGGAGAATTCTGCAAATAGTTGGAATTGCCAATCGATCAGTCATCAATAAGTCTGATTCTTTGATCCTGGGTTCAAATACACCCATTGGGTGAGTCACACTCTCTCAACTTAAATCAATCAATCAATAATCAATCAATTGATCATCAATTAATAATCAATCAATCATCAAAGTCTGATTCTTGGACCCTAGGTTCGAAAAATATACCCGTTGGGCAAGTCACACTCTCTCGACTTCAATCAATCAATCAATCAATCAATAATCAATCAGACCCTGGGTTTGAATAGACCCATTGGGTAAGTCGCACTCTCAACTTCAATCAACAATCAATTATCAATAAGTCTGAATCTCAAACCCTGGGTTCTAATAGGCACATTGGTTGAGTCACACTCTCTCGATTTCAATGAATAATCAATCAATTAATCAAAAATCAATTAATCAATCATCAAACAATAATCAATCAGTCTGATTCTTGGACCCTGGGTTCAAATAGACCCATTAGGTGAGTCACATTCTCAACATCAATCAGTCAACAATCAATCATCAATAAGTATGATTCTCAAACCCTGAGTTCTAATAGGCACATTGGGTGAGTCACACTCTCGATTTCAATGAATCATCAATCAATCATCAATAAGTCTGATTCTCAGACCCTGAGTTTGAATAGACCCATTGGGTGAGTCACACTCTCAACTTCAATCAACAATCAATTATCAATAAGTCTGATTCTCAAATCCTGGGTTCTAATAGGCACATTGGGTGAGTCACACTCTCTCGATTTCAATGAATCATCAATCAATAAATTAAACAAAAATCAATTAATCAATAATCAATCAGTCTGATTCTTGGACCCTGAATTCAAATAGACCAGCTGGGTGAGTCACACTCTCTCAACTTCAATGAATCATCAATCAATAAATTAAACAAAAATCAATTAATCAATAATCAATCAGTCTGATTCTTGGACCCTGGGTTCAAATAGACCCATTGGGTGAGTCGCACTCTCTCGATTTCAATCAATCACTCAATCATCAATAAGTCTGATTCTTGGACCCTGGATTCGAATAGACCCATTGGTTAAGTCACA